GCGAGGCGGGTTCAAGCTCTGGGGAGTTCTGGGATGTAGGGCTTTGGTAGGAGTTAAGGATGTAGGGGTCTTGGTCAGGGTTTAGGGGTTTAGGGTTTAGGATGTAAGATGTCCCGAAATCCTTAAATGCCTAAAAGTCGTTCAAATCCCGAGGAGGGATTCTTGAAACGGAGAGAGCCGAAACAAGCCGAAGCCCTCCAAGATTCACCGGTGTATCGTGGGGGTATGAGTATAGTGTCTGGGGGTTTCGGCTGAGGATGTAGGGTTCAGGGGCTTAGGGTTTGGCAGAAGATAAGAGTTTGAGATGTTAGGTTTCGGCTTCTAGGGCTGCATAGGCATCTTAACTGTCCCGCCGAGGCTTAAGACTTACCTTTGGTTAGTAGGGAATGGGAGAATGGTAGTAGTAGTAGTAGTAGTAGTAGTAGTAGTAGTAGTAGTAGTAGTAGTAGTAGTAGTAGTAGTAGTAGTAGTAGTAGTAGTAGTCGTAGTAGTAGTTATAATTGTACCCCATTCCTCCATTCCCTACTAACCAAAGCATCGTCTGATAGATGCAACTTGTGACCGGAATCTGCACCCCAGAGCCTGACATGAAGTCTGTAGGGTTTAGGGTTACACCCGGTTTAGGGTTTAGGGTTTAGGGCCGCATACCTTAAAGCTTGCGTACCTTCACGTCCCCAGGCTATCTTTTGCTAGGTCCGAGCTCAAGCGGTCTGCGATGACTGGGCTGAGCTGTACTTTGGCAGCACCGTGCAAAAAAGATGCTGGCCGCTAAAGCCTTCGGAACCCCAAACCCCACAACCTCCAACACACAAAGCCCTAAAATCCCATACCCCAAGCCTTAAAGTCCTAAAGCCCTAAAGCTTTGATCAGGTACTTTCTACTATATACTATAAGGCCTTAAAGCCTTAAGCCCTGAACGCCCTTGCCCCAGACCCTGAGCTCCATGCTGAACTTATTAGCTTTGCTATGACCCCTGCAGCTCCTGAAGCCCTCAAGGCTAAACCCGAAACGGAGCCCCCCCCCCCAAAAAAAAATCCGAAACGCCGGATCATGTTCATAGTTGCTTTTTTCTCCCTACAAACTCAATGATCAACGTGTGCTAAGCCTGGCTCGAGGTGTCAGGCTTCAAGGGGTTCAATGGTTCTGGGACTATCGAGGTTTGCCCCATAGTCCCCATATAGACATGCTTTGCCTGCAAGCAAGCCTGCAAACAAAATCCGGATCTACTCTCTTTATTCCCTCAACCCTAAACCCTAAACCCTAAATTCCCACCCAGGCCTGCTTAGGCCGTACCCACCCTTTTTCTTAGGGTGCCTGGACCCAGAAGGAAATCCGGCAGTGATTGACACCAACTCTGGATGGACAATGGGTGGAGCCATTGGAGAGTGGTCGAATTCAGCCCCTAGGGCTGAGCCAAGCCATTAGGCCCCTTGCGTGGCGCCCATATTCGCAGAGGGAATTCCTTCGAATCTCAAGAGATTAAAATACCGTAAACCCGAGACCAAATCCCTTGGTGGTGTTTTCCATTTGGCTCCCTTCAGAAAAGGCCATCTGGAGCGTTATTATTACACTGTGATCCACGGCGTCCGCACGGCTCAAGTCGTGAGGATCACTTGGACTCTTTTCTTTATGCGGTCCACGCAGCCCAAGTTGCGTGGATCTTGGGCACGGGCTCCTGAGGCCTTGCGTGTACCCCTCCATTTTCTTTCGAGGACTGACAAGCACGGCCCAAAAAAAAACCAGCACACATGCCCAAAATTTGGCCAGTTGACGATATTCTGGAGATGGCTGGCTTCCGAGTTGTTTACGAAATTCTGCATCGGTCGACCAAGCAGGGCCCAACTACTGGCTGCGCCGCACGCGGGAGCTGGAGGAGGTGGCGGTGCTGGGAGGAGGGTTCATCTGCAGACTCCGGTGTGTTGCAACCTGCTCAGGAAAATGCGGAGCTGAGGCGCCAGTTGGAGGAGGCCACGCGTGGTGCTGCACCCCGCCTTGGCGGGCTCCGCTGAGGCAGCGCGGCCATCCCTATAAAGATAAGGGAGTGATGAAGAGTGCCAGTGTGGGGGTGCCAGAGCGAGTGTGGAGAGAGATTGAGTGCGGGAGCGAGCGCTGTGTGGCAGCGTTTAATGCCTCGATCCCATGAGTCGTTCAACTGAGCACAAGCTGTTGTGGTAGTCAAATCTGTTGGAAAAACCGACTTGGGATCAAAGCGTTTAGCAGGGAACGACGTGCATTGGAGCTGCTGCGCCAATGGACGTCTCAATGGATGTGGAGGTTGGCTTCTTGCATGCAGTCTCACTGATTGTCGTGTTGATGCCGTTTGACACTGATTTCCGTTGCCTTCTGGTCAGGATTATACTCCGATATTGGACAATTCTAGAAAGACAGTGTGGAGTGTGTGTCGTCCTCGAAGACCACTGCAGACAGCTATGCCAAGACCACTTTGGAAGACTAATCCAAGATCACTTCCAAGACCGCTCCAGGCCAGAAGAACAGTTCAAGGACCTATCGAAGACCATCACTCCAGAAGATTAGTCCAAGACCAACCATCAGAGCACTCCAGAAGATGAACGTGACGGCAGTTGTGGCTTTCGCCTGGCCCCCCCCTGGCCCCCCTGCCCCCTGGCCCTCTGCCGCTGTGCGGCACCCAGGCCTGCTTAGGCCGTACCCACCCTTTTTCTTAGGGTGCCTGGACCAGAAGGAAATCCGGCAGTGATTGACACCAACTCTGGATGGACAATGGGTGGAGCCATTGGAGCGTGGTCGAATTCACCCCTAGGGCTGAGCCAAGCCATTAGGCCCCTTGCGTGGCGCCCATATTCGCAGAGGGAATTCCTTCGAATCTCAAGAGATTAAAATACCGTAAACCCGAGACCAAATTTCTTGGTGGTGTTTTCCATTTGGCTCCCTTCAGAAAAGGCACCAGAGGCCGGCCCAGGGGCCGCCCCAGCTGGCCCATTGACCCGGGGGCTCCCGTATGCCGCCCCCCCCCACACCCCTGCCGCTGCGCGGCGAGACACCCTCAACCCTAAACCCTAAACCCTACCCCTTGAACCATGGTAGCCCTGCCTCAACCCTAAGCGCCAAACGCAAACACCCCCGGGCACTAAAGCCCTACACCCAGCCAAGTGTGGAGTTTCCTGCGTGTTGGATCCGCTGGGTGTAGTTTATGGCTGCAGAGTGTTAGGGACTATGAGGGACCCTAAATCCTAAACCTGCGCACCCCTAAACCCTCAACCCCAAGCCCAAAGCCTTAAAACCCAAAACCCCAAGCCCTAAACCCTAAACCCCTCAGCCCTAGATCAAAAGCCCTAAACCCCTGAACTCCTAAACCCCTCAACCCTAAACCCAAAGCCCTACAACCCCAAACCCCAGAACCCCAAACCCTGAACCTCCAAACCCCTAAACCCGTAAACCCCTCAACTCTAAGCCCTAAACCCCTCAACCCTAAACCCTAAACTCTCAACCCTAAACCCCTCTACCCTAAACCCTAAGCAAGGTTTAGGGTTTCGGGACTGTGGGGCCGGTTTCTGATGTTTAGGGGTTTAGGGCCGGTCTCAGGTTTTTTAGGGCAGTTTTAGGGGTAGGGTTTAGAGTTTAGAGTTTAGGGTTTAGGGTTTAGGGTTTAGGGTAGGGTTTAGGGTTTGGGGTTTAAGGTTGTGCTTGGAGGTGCAGGGGTAGTTTTTGAGTCGGGTTATCAGTCCCCGAATATGGGGTTCTTAGTGTAGTCACCCTATTGAAAACTCACTAAAAGCTACCCTAAACCCTGGTCTCTATAGAACCCTTAAAGGAACCCTATAGACCCGTTATAACTCCACTTATAACTACCCACCTCCACGTAGGGTTTTACGGGTTGTAGGGGTTAGGGGGTTGGGGCTATCGGTCTTTACAGCTCTGGGGTTGTAGGGTGTTTTTAGGGTTGGAGGGTTTAGGGTTTCGGGTTTCGGTAGGGCAGCGTTGGAGGGTCTTGGAATTTTAGGTTTAATGTTCAGGTGTTTTTGTGTATTTTGGCTCTCGCCACAGGATGAAGCTTCAGAATAAACGGGTTCATTTACTATATAGTCCTCGCAAGGGACGACTAGAAATTATCTTGGGAACGGTGTGCTAATTCTTCAGGCCCCGGAGTACTGGTCTGCATTAGGGTTCGAGGTTTCAGGCTTAGGGCCACCATGATTGTAACCAATCATCGGCCTTAATGCTAAGCCCTACTTGGAGGTTTATGGGTAGTTATAAGTAGGGTTCTAAATAGGGTAGCTATGCTTACAACCCATATTCGGGGACTTATATCCCCACTTACAACTACCCCTGAACCTCCAAGTAGACGTCTTTTGCAACCCATATAAACTCCCCATAAACCGCCCCATAGAACCCTAAAGCCCCAAGCTCAACCAAGCCGTGAACCCAACCCTGTCTTTTCAGGGACTCTCCGGTGTGGCAAGGGTGTTGTGCAGTTTCAAGCTTTCTCAGAACGTGTTGCAAGATTTCTTTGTAGGGTCTCCATCGCGCCGTCTTCGTCCTTATAGGGTTTCGTGTTTCTATACATCTATTTGCCTACCTACCTACCTACCTACCTGTCTGTTTGCCTGTCTATGTATCTATCTTCTATCTTCTATCCTCCATCTATCTATGTATCTACCTGAACATCTATGTATTTGTCCGTCTGTCTGCGTGTCTGTCTGTCCGTCCGGCCGTCCGTCTGTCGGCTCGTTATCTCTCCGTCCGTCTCTCTATCTACCTCCCTGCCCACCTACCAGCCTACCCACCTACTTACCTATCTATCTACCTGTCTACCTACCCACCTGTCCACCGATCTACCAATCTACCTCTCTATCTCTCCATCTCTCTCCATCTGCCTATCTATCTATCTGTTCATAGGAAAAGTATGGCCTGATTCCCGAAGCTCCTTAATCCTAAACCCTAAGCCCTAAACCAATCGTAACTAAACCACGGAGCCCGCGAGAGCGTCGCTTTTTGGGTGCAGTTTCCGGGGCACTTGGCAGGCGCAGCTCGCCGAGATGCAGCAGCAGGTCCTCCAGTATCAGGCGCATTTGGGGTTTGGGGGTTTGGGTTTACGGATTAGGGTTCAGGGGTTTAGGGGTGGGCTTTAGGGGTTTGGGGGTTTGGGGGTTTGGGTTTAGGGTGTAGGGGCGTTAGGGTTTAGGGTTTGGGGGTTTGGGTTTGGGGTTTGGGGGGTAGGGTTTCGGGGTCAGGGTTTTCGGGTTTAGGGAATGGATACCCTAACATTTCACAGCATGGGTTCTTGTAGAGCCTTCTTCAGCTTGTGGTATGGTTGTACAAAGTTTTACAGGTTTATATACCTATTCACATATATATATATATATATGTATATATATATATATCTATCTATCTATCTATGTATACACACACATAGATCTTTATAGGGTGTTGTAAGGGCTTGATCAGGTTTTAAGGGGTCTTAGGTTGGTAGAGGGGTTTCTTGGGGTGTGCATGGAGCTTGGCTAGCTATAAGCTTCTATAGGGTGCCAGATCCCTAAACTGCCTTGAGTCACGAGGTTTCCGACACTTTAGGGTTTAGGGCTATCAAGGAGGACGTCAAATTCTACTTGTGGACCATATGCTGACTCGTCTGGGTGCTCCATCATAATAAGGAAACAATATTAGCTGACGGACTTTCGGCCGAACCCCGACCTTGGCCCTGCAACAACCGTTTTTAGCTGGCAGCGGGCTTTCAAGGTATTTTACGGAAGCTATGCAGGGACGAGAAGGGGGTAGTTGACGAACTATTAAATAAACCTTGGCACAGCTTTGGGCTGGTTCGAGAGGTTTCCAATCCATCATATGAGGTATTTGCTTATGATCTAGGTATGACAAGCTGAGTTCAATAATAATTGAAATACTAAGCCTAGGTAGGGCCTAGCAAAGTCTAAGCTGGGGCAGCAAATCTCTTCAAGAGCAGCTGGATGTTTGGAAAGTTCAGATGTTAAGGCCTTTGGGTTTCTCGAGAGTTCATGTGGGGCTAAGGGATTTCGAACCCTGAACCCAGGCGCTGCGGCTGCAAAATGTGCGGAATGCGATGGCCAGGTGGGATACACCTACAGTTTCAGGTGCGTTGTGCGAGGTTCAACATACAATTACAAGGTGAAGGTGCCACTTACTGCTAGGACCCCATGGTAGTTGATACTATATAACCCTAAACCCTAAACCCTAAACCCTAAACCCTAAACCCCTAAACCCTAAACCCTAAACCCTAAACCCTAGTATATAAGTTCGTCGTTCGACCATGCCCCAAGTCCAAATCCGAAGAGAAATCGTAGGCCTACGTCCGGCTAATGACACGCAACGCTCTCCGCCCCGATTTTTCCTTCTGGGTTTGGGGTCTAAGGACTTAAGGCAAGGTGTAGGGTTCAGGGTTTGAGCTTCAGGGGTTTAAGGTTTAGGGCTTAGGACTTGTACCAGGGTTTAGGGGTTCGGGGTTTAGGGTTTAGTGTCTGGGGGTTTACCGTCCCTAAACCCCAAACCCTAAACCGTAGGGTTGAGGATTTGGGGCAAAACGTGGGGCTCAGGGTTTCGGGACTGAGGGATCCCAAGAGTCGTCTCGGTGTGTTCCCGTTGGGGTTCCAATGACGGGGTTTAGGGTTCAGGGGTTTAGTGTTTAGGGTTTAGAGTTTAGGGGTAAGGGTTTAGAGTTCAGGTTTAGAGTTTAGGTTTAAGGGTTTAGAGTTTAGGTTGAGGATTTAGGGTTAAGGGTTTAGGGTTTTTCGACTCACTCACGCGCTGGCTCGCTCGCTCACCCACCTGGGGTGGATCCCGGGCATCAAACGAAAACCATGGTCAAGAATCGTTGCACCGCGCAACACGTGTGCCTAATCCCTAAAGCCCCAAACCCCAAATGCGGAAGCCATTAACCCTCGATATTTCAAACCCTTGAAAACCCATTAACCTTCGACTATCTTAAACCCCAGATCCTAAACCCTAAACCGTTTTCCCCTAAACCCCTAAACCCTAAACCCTATTCAAGAACCCTATACCAGGACTGTCCTAGAAAACTCGGACACCATCCTGAACACGTGGCATCCTCGGTGGCCGGTCTCGCAGGGCTTCAGGGATGAATCCCCCAAAGGGGAGTTTCCGAAAATTGGGGTACCTTATTTTGGATCCTTATAATAAGCATCGTGCAATTTATGGTACTATGATAAGCATCCTACCATTTAGGGTACCATAATAAGAATCCTATTATTTAGGGTATTATGTTAGGGTCCCCGATTTTCGGAAACCCCCAAATAGGTTACCTACGTGGTCCCGAAGTCCCGACTTCCGCAATACCAAGGGATCTGAAAGGCCTTGGCTCTTTGTGGCACTGGGTTTAGGGTTTAGGGTTTAGGGTTTAGGTCTTTTCGAGGCTTACTTTGGGTTTGAGGATTTACCTGGACCCCAAGAACCTTCCTTTTTCGGGTTCCTTAATATGATTTCTGATGTTCAGGGTCAAGGTAGCGCCCAGGGTTCCGGGATAGGGTCTAGAGCTTAAGACGAGTTTATCATGTGCCGCGAAGTTGAAAAAACTGGGGTTGGAAACTACATACCCTAAACCCTAAACCCTAAACCCTAAACCCTAAACCCTAAACCCTAAACCCTAAACCCTAAACCCTAAACCCTAAACCCTAAACCCTAAACCCTAAACCCTAAACCCTAAACCCTAAACCCTATTAAAGTCCCAGGAGCCCCCGAAGCCCCCGAAGCCCCAGGTCCCAACACTAAAGCTTAGGGCCACTTAGACATATTTTGCAATCTTTTGTTATTCTAATAACTAATAATCCTTAAGACACAGCCAACACTATGATTTTTTTTTGCGAGGGGTCTGAGTTCAGTATAGAAAGCCGGAAACCCCAAACCTCATGCAACCGAGGATCCGCAATCCTGAAGCCCAGATCCTAAACCCCAATGATGAAAGCCTTGAGTCTGCCAGCCTCTTGAAATTATGTGCATTAACCAGACCTTGATGGTCCAAGCTTCGCGAAGTGCTAGAAGACTGTAGCCAGTGTCAAGCACGGCAGGTCCTAGTACATGAAGCATTGCCATGATCGGCAGAAGCCAGCAATGTTCGTGCGCTTCGTGTAAAACAGTTCGCATTATCAATTCGTTTACTTCCGCCATGTCGTATCCACATGCTGTTTCTGGTGCGTCAGAGAGTGCCTTGCTTCAGCAGGGTATGAGCCCAACGCTACCCGATGAGGATGGGGCTCCGAACTACGGGGCACTGTTCTCGGACCCACTGCGTGCGGATGATGAAGCGTCACTTTCGGCACCTACAGTGGCTTTGCCTAATGGGGTTCCCAATGTACCAGTAAGTGAAGTTCATGGTCAGGACCCTGTGGCCCCCAGCAGCACTGTGAATGACGGTGTGGAAGTACAAAGTGCGATGCGTAAGATTCCTGTCGATGGAACAGCATCACGCACGGAGCCGGCCTCACCGGTGGCTCCCCTAGCTGCACATACCGGAGTTTCTCTTCCGCTGTTCCCCGCCTTCCAGCCTTCGCCTCTGCCAGGGCAGTCACCAGTGGCTGCGCAAGAAGGAGGACTTCGACCAGGTTCGTGGTTTACCAGGTTGGGGGATTACATTCAGAAGAGAGTGGAGGTTACTTCGTGGTCTTCCCCTCCGGCGTCTACGACTAACCAAGCAAGTGTGTGGCATAATCGAAGTCAAGTTCAGACTATGATGGTTGCGTCTCCAGTTGTGGGAGAAAGGAGACCGGAATCGAACTCAAGCGGTTCCGCCGGAATTCCTCAAGAAATGGTTCAGGCTGAAGTAGCCAGACAACTGGACAGCGCGATGAGTGAAGTGATGAGTCGGCTGCAGGATGAGAGACTGAAGACAGAGCAGGCGACCTTGGAAGCTAGGCAGCTACGTGAGCAGCTTGAGAGATATGAGATGAGGGCCCAGTCAGGGCCGGCTGCCCCCCTTGGTCCTCCACCGGGGTTTCTTCCGCTGAGTTTGAGAGATCATGGAGCTTCTACCGGAGTCCCTGCGAATCATCCTCTACCTGGTCCTATGCCAGGGTCGACCGCGCAAACGGCTCATGGTCGTCAGAGCGTTGGCGATGTGGAATATAAAGGTGAAGACGCTACAGTTGCAGGAGTTCCTAACCTACTTCGAGGTGATCGGGCTTTTACAAGCATTGGTGATGTTGTCGCTGAAGGCTCTAACGTACCACGGGGAGATCGGGCTTTTGCGAATTGTGCGGATCGTGGTTCAGGAGTTTCTAACCTACCTCTTGGTGATCGGGCGGCTGCAGCAGTTAGGGGTGTAGAACCCAATGTCTATGATCCTGGAGCTTCTACCGGAGTTCCGGCGAATCATCCTCTACCTGGTCCTTCTGAAGAATATGGAGCTAGGTCTCGTACCAGGTCTCAGTCGCCGGGTGGTCCACGTGCCTTTTTCCAGGGCTTGTTCGGTCTGGGTACAACTGGTCGTGATGAAGGACAGCAGTTTGATCAAGGAGTTCAGATGGGATCGAGAACGATACCTACCACCTACATACCACCTCCACTTCAACCTCCCTTACCTCCACCTCCACTACCACCTACAACTACAGGTGCAGCGGCGCCGGCTCGGGATGGCGACGTCTTGGCGACCTTAGCCAGGGGCATAGAAGCGCTACTGCAGCAACAGCAACAAGGGCCTCGGCAAGACCGTCCAGAAACGGTTAAGCCAGGTATCTCTGAACTTCCTCCACTTCCAGAATACCAGCCGTCAACGGGGTCGATAGACTTGCTTCACTGGTTGACGCACATAGCGCCGATGATGGAGGACTTGTCGGATACCAGTCTACTTTGGTGGCAGCAGACCGTCAAGGATGCCCTCACTTGGTATGCTCAGTACTCAGCTGCGCCACCGCTTGCACGATTACAACTTCGACCGCGACCCACCCATGATCTTCGTCCGGAGTGGGCTCGAGTTGAAAGACGTGCCACGGCAATGATGCTCAGCGCCGTTCCGAAGGCGATTCGTGAGGAGATAATCGCTCACGGCCAGATGTCGAGTTTGGATGTGCTATGCAAGCTGTACTCGGTGTATCAACCGGGTAATCTGCAGGAGAAGTCGTTGGTTCTACGGATGCTGGAGCAGCCCGAGGAGTGCACTACGGCCCTCCAAGCGGTGGAGGGGCTACGACGATGGAGCCTGTGGAGACGGAGAGCGGCTTCCTTGGGGATGGCAGAACCGGATGCGTCGGTTTTGGTCAGAGGACTGGACAAGATCACAGCTCCCATCATCCAGGGGAGCGGGGAGCTTTCGTTCCGAGTGAGCTTGATCAGGAGCACGCTGCAAGTGGATGTGAGTCCATCTTCGTCTACGGTGACTACCTTTCACCAGCACCTCCAGGCTGAGATGGAGCAACAGGCCAGACTGGGAGTTGCAAAAGGGACCGCGGATGTTTCCCCTGCGCTGCGTGCTGTTACCACCAACACCACAACCACTACAACGCCACAACCACCAACCACTACAACTCCATCTACTTACCCTACTACCAAGCAGCAGGGTTCGTTGTGCCGATTCTTTGCGTCAGACAAGGGCTGTCGAAGGGGCAACGGATGTCGCTTCCCACATACGTGGGCCCTGTTGGAGAAGGGAAGTCGGCAGCGCAAGTGCTTGTGCTGCGGATCTACACAGCATAAAGTCAAGGAGTGTCGAGCTCCAGGCGGCGGCCAGGCGAGGACTACAACCTCGCGTACGGAGGCGGCGGGCCCGGGGGAGACGGGGTCTACATCGCCTACGGCATCAGCGACGGATTCGCCGACGAGGAAGGTGAAGTTCGATGGCGAGCAGGTGCAGGCCAAGGTGTTTCAAGTTCTGCAAGATGTGAAGAACATCCCACTGTTCAGGTCAGTGGTGGACACCGTGAGTCGTTGGGCCTGTCAACCTGTACCTCCCTCGCCTAGGGCGCGGTCTGCGCTGTTGGACTCAGGAGCGACTCATGTTCTACGTGCTCCTTCAGACAATCATGAATGGCTCCAGGCTAAGGATGTGAAGGTGAAGCTGGCTGGAGATGGTTATGCGGCCATGCGTCAAACCTCCGCGGGCACTATTCTCAATGAGGACCAGATGGCCCAAGTGATCGTTCCCCTCGGCAAGGTCATTTCCACCCTTGGATATAAACTACACTGGACGTCCCAGGAGTGCTACCTGTATGCCGAGGATGGGGAGATTATCACCCTTGAAGTGGTTCGAGGATGCCCTGAGGTGAGCGAGGAGGTTGCCAAGAAGCTGATAACGCGGCTGGAACAGACCCAGCTTCCAGAACTCAAGGATGCCACTGAGGCGTCGGTCAAGGCGTTGAGCTTTGTGAAGTCCAGCTGGTGGGTTTGTCTCATGGAGTATGTTATGACGGGCAGTAGTGATGCTGCGAAAATGGCAATCAAGAAGGCCCCGTTCTTGTTGTACAAGGACGTGCTGGTGGAGGGCCTGGCTTTTCAAAGGCCAAGGAAGGGCATCTGGGAGATGCTCAAGGCCATCAACGTGAACAGGCGAACTCGGAAGCGCCTGATGAACTCTTCCTCGTGGGTGGTTCGCTGGGACCCCCCGGCAGTGGATCGTCCCCGGGATGCCTTGAAGCATCTGGGCATGGCCAAGGAGACCATGTACATCAACTTGAACACCTTGCTGATGGAGAATGAGTTCGAAGAAGTTTGGAAGGTGGTGCTTTGGGGAGCAATGGAAGGAAAAATCAGCACCGTCGTCGCTAAGGACAGTTTGGGAACTCCGATGAACCATGTGGTGGCCGCCCCTCACCGCAGTAAGGTGCATTATTTGCATGCACTGGCAACGGCAGGCCGAACTGCTCATGGTCAGGGTGCGGTGAGACTGCTGGTCGAGGACCTCGATCGAGTTCAGCGAGATCAGCGCGATGGTGTGGAAAGTATGTGGCCGGCATGGTCTATGTGCAAAGATGCCAAAGAGTACATGGCCGAGATGGGGATTGTTGATATCTCCATATCGGAGTTCACGGGCGAAAACTACGTGAGGGTCGCTCGTCTTGATGGTGATGCAGCTTGGCGACTGCACGTGATGCGG